AGAGAGAGAGAGAGAGAGAGAGAGAGAGAGAGAGACTTAATAACTTAGTTGGATATGAATTAGGACCCATCTAAGCTAATAACTTAGTTGGATATGAATTAGCACCCATCTAAGCATAAGGCCATGAGCAAAGTGAAAGATAAGTTGATCGGTGAACAACTATCAATCATGAATAATGCTCTGATTATATTGTCAAACATAAATTACTGATTAATATTTTACTATGTCCCATCTGATCCCCAGGTTGTTTATTCTCGTCCTATATTTTCTTCCTTTGGTACAAGTAATATGGTGATTTTGACCTAATATAAATTTATAATCATCTATTGATCTAATCATAACTTTCTATGTTGAAGGCAGTGATCAAGAAACTTTAAGGTGATATTGGCAAAACACAAAACAAGTTTAGTTTGACACAGATAAATTAACAGTGGCATATACCTGCATAGATATCACATATTTTTAGCTATGAAACGTGCTCAACCAATGCGCATAAGTTAGAGTATAAAATGATAACTTGACAGTTTGCATTATAATTTCAGAGTTTTGATATAACAACTCACGTATCTATTATTGACACAAGAAGGTAACATTGTACTATCAAATATAAATCCATGAATAGCGCATAGATTGTTGGTTAGGTACATTGTTGGCTTCTCCTAAAATTTGTTTATCTAGCAACTCTTTTGTTGGAATACTCTAAGTCGAGCTAAAGATGGGTTGTGGACTGCCCGTGTGCCTTCCCTATATGCACGTGCTAGCACGAGGTAGTATGTGTTCTCAACCATTAGGAAAAATAATTAAGCGTTGGTTACTTAATTTACTCCCAATGTTCCCTCAAATCATCCCTTTCCAGTTGGTTAATTAATGCTAATTATGCCTCCACATCACCAATCGCTTCTGTTCATGTACAATGTGTGGGTAAAACCACATTGATTATCTTTTTATTCCTTTCACACCTTGTACTTATGTTCCTATATAAACTAAACTTATGTGCATGCAACCTAACATAATTTCATTAATTAGCCTTGCTAGTGAAGAGATGGATAGCCAAGAATTCGTCTACTCTTCCCAAACTCACTTGGACACCATTGATGGCCTTGAACCATTCAATGATAGCTTTGTTCAAGGATTCGACGATTTCATGTTTTCTGATGCTGGTTTTTTCGACAATGTGTTTGATTCAGATATTGGCTTGTCATTAGACGCAATAGTCAGCTCTCCAGGCCTCAACTTGAGCTTGGAGGAGGAGGAAGAAGAAGATAATCATGAACAAAATGGTAGCAAAGGGGATTATTCGGGTTCAAATACGAAGCCTAAGAGAGACCGTTCAAAAACCCTAGTGTCGGAGAGAAAGAGGAGGAGTAGAATGAAGGGGAAGCTCTATGAGCTACGAGCACTAGTTCCTAACATAACGAAGGTATACATTCTTTTGTCACCCTCACATACGTTTTTGAACTTATCATTCTTGTAGTTTCGTTGTGGTGGATAGATACCCTATGAGTGAAATTTGTTATTCTTTTACCCTAAGTTGTTAGTAAACCAGTGCTTTATCCTTGAGTAAAATCTTTTTTATTCACTTTCAAGGGTAAAAGAGTAAAAAAAAAAATTCACTAAGAGATCTATACGCCAAAATAAAACCACAGAGAAATCAGTTCAATAACATCAAACTACAAGGCTCTATGTGTAATTAGCCCTTAAAAATGAAACTAACCAACAAGATGACAAATCTTTCTCACAGTTGAAAACCTCAAATGTGATTATATCTATTATGTAGATGGACAAAGCATCGATAATTGGAGATTCAGTAGTTTATGTGCAAAGCCTCCAAGATCAAGCTAAGAAATTGACAAGTGAAATATCGGCCCTTGAATCATCGTTGTCATCATCAAAAGAAGATCAAGCGTCTGAAGTTGCCATTGATAATGAGTGCTGCAAGAAGAACAATTGTGGAGGGAAGATACTAAATGTGATGGCTCATGAAGTTGGAGAAGGGAGATGCTATGTGAGGGTTGAGTGCAATAAAAGAGATGGAGTAGCATCGACTCTTTATAATGCAATGGAATCGCTTCAATGCTTCCTTATGGAGAAATCTAACCTCTCTTTCAATTGTGATCGGTTCATTCTAACATTGACCTTGAATGTAAGACTTTCGTCATTTTCTTCACCTACATTCATTGTTCTTATCATGAGCTTTGACTTATTGTATTTTTTTTTTTTATCAAAAACAAAGGATAAACCCTGTCATATGTATTAAATAACAAGTTTTACAAAAAAACAGGATACAAATTGTATCCAAAAATTGGAAGATAGAAATACTAGTTTCTCAATACTAGTGATATATGACTTTCTTCTCTCCAACATCCGTGAAGGTGAAGAGAGGGCCTTGCCGTCATTCACCGTTGACACAGATATAAGAGAGAACAAAAGCCAGCCATATATTTGGTATCAAGAAACTAATAATTCTATAACCCACTCAAAACATAGAACAAAACTTGGAGTAAATCATATACAAAAAACTAAAGAAAACATCTGGACACTTGCAGATTAGTCAAATGCTTCTGCCAATGGGGTCTTTCTCCAACATAGCTTTTGGGGTCTTTCTCCAACATAGCTTTTATCTTTTGTGTTGTAGATCCACTTTGAGTACCTGTCCAATCATATAATGACGATATTGCATAGTTAACAATGGACTTGATAGAAAACTGCATTTGATCAAAAATAGAATTGTTTCTTGATCTCCATAAACTCCAGCAAACAGATGCAAATATAATGCGCCACATATATCCTTTCAACCCATGAACTGATTCTAAGATAAGCAGTAGGTCGTCCCAATGTGCCGGCCACATATATCCTTTCAACCCATGAACTTATTGTCTTTGAGGCTGGAGTATATATATCTATTATATCAAGTTTATTACATGAAAATGAAAACCTATTTTTAGATAAAATTTTAATGAAAATATCACAAATTTGACCATCTAACTAACTGACGAAAGTAGTAGCTTGAATGTTGTTATATGAAGAAATCTAATTAACCTTTCTTTCAGCTCTGATTAACTAACCTTCACTGTAAGAGCTCTTCATTTCTATACCTTGATACTTTATTCTTCTTCATGTTTAGTTACATTTTGAAAATAATTGATGTAGGTGAAGAAAGCTGAGGAGGTTATGACTGCTTCTTCTATGAAGTTACAAGTGATGAGCGCTCTTCTCAAGGAAGGATTTTGGTACCAGATGTAGAATTTGTAATTCAAATTTTCCTAAGCTCATTTCTGCTCTTTTTGTTTGGCTTTCTGGATTATCTTTCAGCTACCAATCTCCCAATGTACTCACTTTGAGGATCTCGATCGGAATACTGCTCTTATTTTTGTAAAATAATGATCAGAATGTTCCCGGATTAAAATAATTTCTTTAAAAGGGTACAGGACGAATGAGCTGGGAATAGTGGAGGAGGGAAGTCGGAAGAAATCATTCATCACATTTATTTAGGAATTCTTTTGAGTGTGAAATGTCCCCGAAATTCACCCGCAACGCTACAAAATTTTCTCACCCTCAAATTGAAGTGGAACTTAGGAGAAGGGAATTCCCTAACTTCCCATTTCGTCCCTACGACAATGAAACGAAATGCCGAAACAAGTGTTAAGGACAATTTCA